GCTCTTTCTTCCGTACGTAAACGATATGTCCTCGAGGATTCAAAACGGAAGAACAGTTCTCTTTGCGGATGATACTATTATTCTTTGCAATAAAGAAACTGTAAATAATACAGTGTCAGATGTTCCAAATTGGTTCCGTAATAATAAATTAATAGTAAACGAAGGAAAAAGTTTCAATGCAAATTCAAGTGCCAAGTAATATCTTTTCTGCTGCATAACTGTTTATATACACTTAAAGACTACCGAGCATCAAAAAGGAAAGTAATATTAGGTTTAACAATCACTTTGAATGTAGTAATGACCATTTGGACTGTATAATTCTAAATAACATGTAAACAAGTATTGTACCTCAGCATCTGGGTCAATGATTCCCATTTGGTCAAGTTTTTCGTCCGGTTTTCGTGATCCATAGAGCGAATGCTGAGATGGTCCCTTGTTTTGCTTCTGGAAATAAATGTAACTTCACTATCTGTTCACGTCTTTTAGAGTTCTGTGGGTGATATAGATATTTAAATTATCGTTCTCACTCCGTTAGGTGCCCACCCCGGGATTAACGTCCCTTGGTAGAACAAGTGCATGTGTGGTGGAGTAGGCCATGCAGGGTCCATTCATATCGTTTTCCATGTTCTCACGGCAGGAAGATGGATAACAGTCAAAATGTGTAGCTGATTTGTCTTTGCAAATACACTCCTGCGATTTTTCTTATAAATTCTTGCCAAAAATGCACTTTTAATCTGTATTCAGAATTCATGTTGTGTTTGAGTTAGGGTAGGGATTCCAATATTTCAGAAAATGTGCACAGAATACATTTCTCCCCATAGCACGTCACACCCAGTTTTTTTACTGTTTTTTGACGTTTAATAAATAATATAAAATTCATTAAGTAGTTTTGAATGAGCATTAATATAATAAAGATAATACCAATATATATGGCGTGTAATTTGCGGAAATGCGCAATAGACGAGCTGGGCGGTCGGTATCTCGTCAACGTCAAAATTAGTGCTTCGCGACCGGTTTCTCATTCGAAAAACGAGAGTCCCAGTAGCTTCATAGAGCCTTCGAAAGTTTAGCCGCACTCGTTTCTTTAGGGATTGAAGCACTACTATATGACATATTAGTTCGTCAATTTTAACTTCTTCGCATGCTACTTGCATAGTATAGAGAAAGTATTGTAATGCTGCTGTGAAAATGGTGAATTTTCAACAGAAGAAACTGAAATTGTGAAGCCCTGATATCGAAAAATTGGATAAAATCCTTGTGTAGTCAGAATTCATGTTTGCGGGCCCGAAAAATTGGTTGATGGCAAAATGTTTGTCTCTCCACCCCGTCTTTTTCCCCAAGTTAAGCGTTTTCATGATCATCGAGATTGTTGGTACCTGGTTATGAACTCGATACTTTCGGCGAAATCAGGAAATTGCGATTTTCTTGTTTTGGATTCAATCGTAATGCTTGCTCTGAAAGCATTAAACACGTAAGATAAGTAACAAGTTTCTAGTTGGAATGCTTCTTTAGGAATGTTGCAATGACGTTGATGCAACAAATCAGAATATCCAATGTTAAAATGTTTTTCAATTAACAGTGTTTATTCTTCCATTTTACTCATTTGAAGCATTATACTCAATTTACTCTAATACTAGATAATAGTGCGCATTGACTAATATTCAATGACACTCGATTTTCAAAGCAGTTCACAACAACAAAAATTTCAAAGAACCATGACATACAAATTATTAAATAAACTCAATCAAGAATCACATCAAGAATGTTTAAATTCACGAGAATGAGAAAGGTAACTGGCACTCGTTCACGTAATTATTCATACTTTACATTGACATTATTACTCGATAAAATGAATTTATGCGACTATTACATCACAGCAGACCACTTTTAATGAAGATGAATGGCCTGTCCGTCTTCGGCAATCTGTTTGTAACGAGACCCTAGAAGACCCTCTGCACCCTGTGGTTTAGTTGAGAACCACATGAATGTAGGTGTTTTAATGGCATCCCATAAAACGAAGTGAAGCCTGTCACTGCGTTTATCAATGTAAAACAAACTACAAGGAGAAGTGCGGGCTATTGAAAGTGAATTATCAGAGTATTAAAAATTTAGTATACTTTCATTTTTCTCAGGTTGTTTGGGAATTCATCGGCGCTCTACGATAAAAAATAACTTACGAAATATTCAGTTTCAAAGGTTATTTCGCGCTTTCCGTCGTATTAACGCGTTTGCCTTGGCGCAAGAGGCCAGAATTCTGTTCCCAAATTTGGAGCAATGTTATTTATGAAGACGGTATAGCAAAAGGCGTGTGGTCGTATATTTGTAGTTAACGATTTTCGCAGAACACAAATAAGCCTATATAATGTAACATTCCTTAACCCTATGGCAAGGGGGGGGGTCTTAGAGGCCCACCAATGTTTTTTTTATAGGCCAGTTTGCAAGTGTTTTTTAGGAAGCTGGGCATCCATGCTATTTGAAATCTTGTTAGTATAATATAACTTAATAAATTACTACTTTATGAAGAGAAACGTGTCTTTATTTTCCATAAAAATATAACTTGTTTTGTTGTTTTAATATTAAATACAAATATTGTTGCGAATATTTTTTCCAATTGTAAAACTTGAAAATAAAAGTTGTTTAAACGCGTAAAAATATATAGTAATTTATAATTTAATTTATTAATTTAGCATTTTGTCTAGTACTTCAATAGAACTTAAATTAAAGCTGTGGGCTTGAGATACCCCTCCCCTGGTAAAGACGGGACCATTTAAGACTAGGAATTGCTAGGGTTAATTCATCACTCAGTCAACAGGTTTACAAAAGGAATTAAGATACAAGCATTTCGACAGTGTTTACATAAATGTTGTAATTGCAAATTATCTTTTTAAACAAGGCCATTTAAACACTATCATCTGAGGCACTAGCATGTGCCCGATCATTTTATCTAAAAAGCATATCAACTACTTACTTTATAATTTGCACCACCATAAGAAATTAATATAATTATTGCATCAGTTTTAATAGCCATCAGCTTTTCGACAAAAGTTAATGTTGCCTTTTAGCATTTCAATGGTTCACTTTCTCAGAGCTTTCTTCATCTTGGGATTTTAAACCTGGCTAATTTTATTTCCTTACTACGTGCTTACGTAGCAAGTAGAAAGTGTTGTAAGTACTGATGCGGCAAAATTCCTTTTTTTACAAAAACATAATCAAACAAAAAAAACTCGTGTTGTGAGGCTCTGGTATCGAAAAAAAAGGATAAATTTAGTTCCCATATGTAATAAATTACTTCGTGTAACATGTGTATGGTCCCTGCGTGGTCTACCTGACCACACAATGACTTGTTCTACCACGGGGTAACCCCCGGGGAGGGCACGTAAGCTTTTCGCTTTTATTCTCACCCCCCGCCGACGCACATGTACGCCGACAGGCTGCTATCTGGATCCCGCCAGAACGCGGTTTGTCCTCACGGCAACCTCCCCATTCAACACCTGAGTCGGACCCGCTCCGCCAGAGCTACCGGCTTTCCAGGCCGGAACCGGAGTCAAGGCGACGCGCCACCCACATGCGCCGGGACAAGTCTCTCCTATATGCCCAGAGAGTGGGGCCACTGGCACGACGAAGCCAAGTGCCCAACTGGGGGCCCCCGGGTCGAAACCCAGGGGGCTTAGGGGCCCCAAGCCTAGGCAACCACGACAGGGGGGTCCATGCTCCCCTCTGGACTTTTATATGTGGGTTTGAGATCCCGTCCAAGGGTTGGTGGCAAGCCACCTACTCTCTGTCTCCACCTAGAGACTAACGACGTGCCTCTAACATGTATAGACAAGTCCATGTTTTGTGGATCCTTGACCCGAACGATTGATTCTCGGCAAAACTTTATGTCTGTCTACGGTCTTGCATCATTGAAATTAATCAAAATGCGTTTAAGAGGAAATTTTATAAAAAGAAAATTCTGATCCACTGTCGAAAATGTTCTCCCATTTATTGAGACATTCGCCAAAAACGTGCAATTTGAAAAAGAAAACAAACAAACACCTCCGCCAAAGCACGTCTTATAAGAACTCTGGAAGAATCCCAGGAGGTTCAGTGGTTCTAAACGGTTACTGTTGTTCAGATCGATGAGTTGCACATATTGTGTTAAATGTTTATGGTTTCAGGTGGTCAAAACGTTAACACTTGGTTAGGAAATTAGATTAATTGAAGAATACAAACAAAGCAACACTTCTGTGAAGATTTTGATAAAGAAATTTAAAGTCGAGAAAACACAAGAGTTTGACACCTTAAAAATTGAGACAAAATCAAGAATGAGTGATTAAAAGAAATTTTTTATAGGTGGTTGCCATAGTATTCAAGTAGACCTAGGCGAAAATCTGAAGCCTAAATCATCAGATGAATTCATCTGCCCTACAAATATTATAGGAAATAATATTTCTTCTATTTTTTATGTTCTTTGTTTCGTTCAACTTCATGTTGCGTTTCTGTGTGTTATTTTTTTGTCTTTCCTGGGACATCTTCGTTTCTTTGAAATGTATTTTTAAGGTGAGATAGACTACTTATACAACTTATACCATCTATGAACGATTGCGTTTGATGAATTGAATGTTCTTATTCCAAACTTGAATAAGCCGCAAAACTACAAGATCAAAGAAATTGTGGGACCCAAAAGATTCCTGCTTAGACAGGGTTTACTTTACATACTACATTTTAAGTGCCGTAGTGCTAGTTTTAAATTCATTAGGTATTTTGTATAACTTACAACTGAAACTAAATCTTTTGCTGATGAAATGAGAAACGAACTGAGAGTTTACAAGAGGGGACGTTTAAAAGTCAGTTATACAGTAAAAGCTATGTAGGATTTTATAATAGTATGGATTTTACAAAATGTGATTTTAATTTGAATCTCTTAAAGTTTCAGGAAAGAAGCTACTTTCACAATAAATGGGAAGGAATATAAAGGTACAATTTCCTTTAAAATCTAATGAATCTTGAATTATTATAGATTGGGCATTAAATGTACTAAAGCTTTCATGACTTCCATTCCAGTTGATGAAAATATACCTGTCAACACGTCTTTGAATACCTTCATCAGAAATTATGCCAAGTTGACAGGAACAAAGGCCATGTGCCTTGAAGGTGGTTGTGGAGCATGTGTGGTAACAGTCTGGCACAAAGATCCTGTAACTAAACAAAAAGCACCTATTGCTGTTAACTCGGTAAATTCACATTTGTATAATGTTTCCCAATGTTCTCTCATTCAATTTTATTCCATTAGCTTTTCTACCTACACACTACAATTTAAACATATGTACATTTGTTAAATTTTTTGAAATTTTAATATTTTTCATTGAAATTAACTAAATGGGAAATTTTTGAAATTTCAGTGCTTGTTTCCTGTTTTGGCTTGTGATGGTTTAGCTGTCACAACCATAGAAGGTATTGGAAATAAGTTAGATGGTTACCATAGGCTGCAGACTCGTATCATGCAGTTGAACGCCACACAGTGTGGCTTTTGTACTCCTGGAATGGTCATGAATATGTACAGGTATTAATGTCAAAACTTGAGTTTTGCATTCTCAAACAAGAGTATATGCATTCCTTCTGAATTAAATTTTATGCATCTTGGAACAATGGAGCAAAACTATGAATGACTTTTACTCTTCTAGCTTGTTGGAAAAAGGTCATTTAACAATGAAAGAAGTGGAAAACTCTTTTGGAGGTAGTATTTGCCGATGTACTGGATACAGGCCTATTCTTGATGCGTTTAAATCCTTCAGCAGTGATGTGTCAGAAGATTTGAAGAAACGATGTGAAGATATTGAGGTATAAATACATTAATTAAGCTGTGCTGTAAATTTCTGCCAATTTGCTATTAGGAAAAGCCTTGACCAGAAGAAGACCTTCAATGATTGGGTTGTTTAGTTATAAACTTATATGTAAATATATACAAATAGTTTAAAAAAATAACAAGCTGAAGTAACCTGGTGTTACCTGGGTATTTTACTCAGTCGTCAGTTAGGCAAGAAAAGTAACAAATTATATCAATAGCATAAATATTTTTGTTTACATCATTATGCCATGCCATGCTTCGCCCCATTGTGCACCTTCCCTGCCACTCCCCCTTCCCTCCTCCCCAACATCCCTCACTGTTCAGTCCCAGTACTCTCCGTCCCTTCCCAATACTATCTATCCTGCCCCAATCCCCTCTGTCCCACCCCAGGTTTGTTTCTGTCCTGCCCCAATTCCCTGTGCCACCCCTATCGTCTCTGTCCTGCCCCAATCCTCTCTGTCACACCCCGATCCTCTCTGACCTGCCTTAGTCCTCTTTGTCCTGCCCAACCCTCTCTGTCCAACTGCAATCCTCTCTGTCGTACTCCAACCCAATTCTTTTCACCACATCCCATTCTATCCCGTTAATGTTTGGTCATAAATTAAGTTATCAGGAAAACTGATAATTAATAATTATTGCTTCCATTATATCTTGCTAGGAACTCCAAGAGATAGTTTTTGTCTTCTTTGAACGTTCCCATTTAACTTCCATGTCATCTTCTCTATGTCAAATCTTATAGGATTCTCAAGTTGTGGTTTTTCTCCACTCTCCCAGCTAACCCTATGCTGAGATGTTTGTGTTCTGAATTTATTAATATTCAACTAATAAAATGTTTTATTAATATTTCAAGGTTATCATAACAATTTATGTTCTCAGGAATTGTATAAAATAAAAATTTGTGAAAAAAGTGGACAACCTTGTTCAGGAAAATGTGGTGATTCTGTAAAATGTGAAAAGTTGGGTTCAACATTATTGCATATTGAAGCATCAGAAGGAGAATGGTTTGCTGCTTCATCAATATCAGATATACTGAGCATTTTTGACACTATTGGGGACAAAACATATATGTTGGTGGCAGGAAACACTGCGAAAGGTAATTTTTTTAAGAGAGATTATTAATCAGGCATTTAGCACATTCACCCCTGAAAAATCATAAAATTTATTTTGTAGGTGTGTATCATCGTGTAAATGAACCTCAAGTTTTCATTAATATCAATTCAGTGTCCGAATTAAGATCCCACTCTGTGGGAGAGGAAATCATTCTTGGTGCCAATGTAACACTTACTGAAGCAATGGAGCTTTTCTACAAATTGGCTAAAGAGCAACCAAAAAAATTTGCTTACACTAAAGTTCTTGCAGATCACATCGATCTTATAGCCAATGTACCTGTGAGAAATGTAAGTGGCAAATTATAACTTCAAAAATTAATGTTAATGTGAAAGATCTCCGTTTATGTATTTTTAGCAATAGACATGCAGGTGGAATATATTTTGTCTCTCATTTTGAGTTGAGTAGTGCAAATTCCTTTCTTCCATTCTCATTTTTAATATGAAATTTTAAATGTTTGTTCTCTTGTAGACTGGAACAATTGCAGGAAATTTAACTATAAAATATGAACATAATGAGTTTCCTTCTGATGTTTTCCTTATCCTGGAAACTGCTGGAGCTACTTTAACAGTTGGTATGTTGTAATAAAATTATTCAAAATATTTTCCATTGTCGTATGTAACATAAAATAATGTATTATATGGTGCATCTTTAAAATGTTGCTCTTTTAATTCTTAGTTGATAAGGATAATAAAGAAGAGGTAGTTACTCTGCCTGCCTACTTAAATTTAAATATGAAGAAAAAGGTATTGAAAAATGTTAAGCTTCCTTCTTTGGATGAATCATTCCGTGTGGGATCCTTCAAGGTAATTCCTTAATTCAGTGACGTATAATTTAGATAAAAACAGTTGAATTTTGGTATTATTATTTTATTGTAAGAAAATGTGCAAAAGAAATAATTATGAGGTAGTGATCTCTGTTTAGTTGTTCTTCAAACATAAATGAAGGCACCTACTTATACATGAAATGTAATTTATTATTTTGAAGTTTATAGTATGAAGAATGCCTGTAATTTTATTATTCACAATTTCCTAAATGAAGTTCATAAGTAATAATAATTAATTTGATTTTTGATCTTCTATTTCAGATAATGCCTCGTGCACAGAATGCTCATGCTTATGTAAATGCAGGATTTCGTTTCAAGATCAATTCACAGGGATCTGGAAGGACTCTAGCTGGAAAACCAACAGTTGTTTTTGGAGGAATAAACCCTTCATTTGTGAGTGCTTTTTGAGATGGTCTGTATCTTCAATATTTTTAATTACTTTGAAATTGATTGTAGGATATACTTTTTGCAGCTTCATGCCTCAAAAACTGAAGAATATCTGAAAGATAAAAATGTTCTGGACCAAGCAGTTTTGCAAGGTGCTTTGAAACAATTAGAAGGAGAATTGGTTCCTGATCATGTACTTCCAGATGCTACTCCGGAATACAGAAAAGGGTTGGCAAAAGCTTTACTATACAAGGTCAATATCCTGACTCAAATAATATCATTAAAATATTTTTAATAGGGCTTTAAACTTATGTTTAATTTATGTTTCTAAAGAAACCTTTTATATTTACAGTTTATTATTAGTTTGGCTCCAGATTCAGTGAAAAAAAATGTTAAAAGTGGTGGACCAGTATTGCATCGACCTGTTTCCAGTGGTAAACAAGAGTTTGAAACAGACAAAAAGGAATGGCCTCTGAATCAGCCCATTCCAAAAGTGGAGGCTCTTGTTCAGGCCTCAGGTAATTGTGAATAACTCATAATTTGTTAAATGATAATTGTGTTTTGGTAAGAGAGCAGTTTTGGTTTTAATACATGTTGTATGGTTCATTTCCATATTGTCATTTACATATCCATCATCATCATCATCATCATCATTATGAACTGACTAGAAATTAGGCCCTATAGCCTGTTTCTATTGATTTATTTCAGTATTTTTGGTAGATTCTTCGTCTTCCAAGTGTCCATATCTACATAACCATTGTTCACTTTTGTTCAAATATTTGGTTGTAAGTGTGCTAGCTAAATTACATCTGGTTGTATGGACTAAAATAAAACAAATTTCATTGATGACTTCCCTATTAAAGTTGCTTTCCTTTCTTAGTATAATCCTTTTGATAATAATCTAAATTTATTAAATTGAAATTCTGCTGCATTAAATTCAATTTCTATTAATTTTTTGTTTTTCTAGCCGAGTTTGTTATTTTAGTGCTCCTTGTGGCTTCAAAGTAAATAACCCACCTTCCAAATACAAATATGTCAATTTTAAATAATATTGTAAATACTGTCTTAATATCAATAAACATTGCTATTTTTTAACAGGAAGAATGCAATAAAAGCCCATAGGTTTTGAGAAATATTTTTAAATGTCGGTAATGATATTTCAAAATGTCCTATGTAAATAAGTAAGACCAACTTCCATTGGGTGCTAATTTGATATACCACTCACATAAGTGAACAATGAAGAATTTAATCTAAAAAATCATATTAACCATTTTAATATTTTTGGACTAGTAACCCTTTTGCTGAAATATCCTTTCAAGCTTTATAATATTCACTTACACCACAGATAAAAATTGATGTTTTCAAATGATAGTCATACTTTTAACATATCCACTATTAATTTACCCTGTTTCATTGTTGAAAGTTTTAATGTGCATTCAAGGGCTAATAAATGCATGAACAGACCAAGCATGTGCTTAGGGGCCATTACTGAATAACAGCTTCCAATAATTTTTGAAATAAGATTTTTAATTGAATTCTTGTCTGCCATTCAATTCTTCAGAACATTTTTCCAAGAAACTGAGCCTTCATTGGAACTTTGGATACTATGCCTAGGCCACAGTGTCTTCTGTTCTGCCAAAAATCCATTAATCCTAGCCTATGAAATCTATGTTTTCAAAATTTTTAAAGTAGTTCAAAAATATATATTTTTTTAAAAAAGTTTGGAAACATTATTACATTTATGATAATGATGATAAAAAATATGCTTTGTTGCTGGATGTAAGCAACAACCATTATTAAGATGTTTATACATTAAAAAAGTTGATTCATCTATCTGTATAAGTATACTTATGAAAATTTCAGCCTTATTTCTTTTTATACAGGTGAAGCAAAGTATGTAAATGATGCACCTCACTTACCAGGAGAATTATATGCTGCTTTTGTGTTATCTTCGGTTGGACCTGCAACTGTTGAGAAAATTAATGCAACAGATGCTTTGGTAAGTCTCAGATTGAATTAAAGTGACGTTAATGGCACAAGAGATTTATTTATATTTAAATAATTAATCAGGTGTTTGCAATAAAAAATTATAAATTAAATAAAAGAATGAATTCATTCCATCCTCTGGGAGGTTTATTCTAGAAATACATTTTCCTCTCATCTTCCTATAAGAATTGTCTGCTTAAAAGCTTTTTTAAAGTATATGTTAATCATTTTTAATTTGAGTTTTGTATTAAAGTTATTAAATAACTATGAATTAACATTATTTCTATTGTATTATTTTAGTACATACAAGAAATATATTGTGTTATTGAATTAATTTCAGAATCTACCAGGTGTGGTTGCATTTTACAAAGCAGAGGATATTCCTGGCAAGAATACTTTCACTCCCCCTCTTGCAGGATTAGATGAAGAAGAACAGGTAATAAAAATATTCATTTTTTGGTAGCCTAAACTCCCAAATCAGTTTTCATGTATTTTCATTCAAGATATAAAACCAAGTAATTGTAATTTGTAATAATAATTTTACTTGCTCAGATTCTGTCTCCTGGAAATGTGAAATTTGCTGGTGAAGCCCTTGGAATAGTAGTTGCTGAAACTCAAGATATTGCTTTAAGAGCTGCAAAATTGGTGAAAGTTGATTACAAGGATGTGAAGAAACCTGTGTTAACAATACGTGAAGTATTGTCCTCAGGTGATAAAAGTAGAATTGCAGACAAAGGAAAAATTGACCCTACTGACCCCAAAGGTACATTCCTTTTATCGCAGAATATTGATAAATGTTTTACGACAAATTGCAATATCATACCTAATTTACATCATACTCTGTGAATTACAGCAAAATCTGAAGCTAAGCATGTTATAAAGGGAAATTTTGATATTGGGGGTCAGTATCATTTCACTATGGAAACTCAAAGTTGTGTGTGCATTCCTATTGAAGATGGTATGGATGTTTATTCTGCAACCCAATGGATGGATCTTACACAATTTGCCATTTCTCTGGCACTTGGTATACCGGAAAATTCGTGAGTATTATACAATGAAAGTGAATAATTTATTCATTGTTTATGATGATCTAGGCCTTGTGTTACGAGTCTATACCAAACTGGCTGGCGGAGTTAATTCAGAGCCAGCATTACCGTTATCTCTAGAGGGATCAGGAGGTCCTTGGGTTTGAGTCCTGATGGAGGTGGATTTTCGACCCTAGCTGGATAGCTAAGTTGCATTCAGCAACTGTCTGGAAGACAGCTTCTAGCAGCCGCAGCTGTAATTGGTAGATTTCCATGATTTCTTGGATCAATACCAGACAAATGCTAAAGCAAGATCATGGACAATCAATGGACCATGCACAATCTTTCCTGCCAATTCCTTATTTCCTCACACTTACATTTAAACATACATACACAATACTACGACACAGAAGTCAAGTCAAGAGTTTAAAGCTTGTCCCTGCTGGGATGGTGTGCTGTTGTGGGAAACATCTAGAAAAGGGAATTTCCCTGTAATCGAACATGTAGGACTGAGCTGGATCTCACCATCCTAACCATCCAATGGGAGCAGGAACACAACGACCTTCTGGGATGAAACATTCAGTACCCAAATGCGACTAATGAACGTAGCAGTTGGCATACCTGGAAAGATCAATCATGCAAACTCTGTAGCAGGCATTTTGTAGATTACTGTTTGTCTTCTGTTGCAGTGGGAAAATTTGCCTAATTTAGAAGAAAATATTGTACCTTTTTACTTTCTTGCCCTTACAAAAGTAAGAAGAGAAAGTATTGCAATTGTGTGTCAGAAAATGGCAAATTTTTGACAGAAAAACTGTTATTGTAATGTCCAAGTAACAAAAAAGTGGATAAATGTTGTTCCTCTATAAAGTAAATTACTTCCTGTAACACATGGTGGAGCCAGAATCCATATTTTGTGGGTCCTTAATACTGAAAAATCTATTGACGGCAAAACATGTCCGTCCGCCCATCCATCCATTCATGCGTGGCCTAAACCATTCAGCTGTTTTCCTCCACAATCGATATTCCATGATTAAACTGAATGAACTCAAGGCTTTGGAAGTTTCAAACGAATATTTTGACTTTTTGCATGAATTTTCAAAAACATTTTAAATTTTTCTCAAAAATGGCTCTAATGTTTTTTTTATTAAACTATGTTCTCAGATAGCATAAATAATGCTTAACAGAATGGTGCAGATCTCATGGTCCTTGAAATTCCAGTATTTCGAAAATTCTCCTACAACTACAACATTTAAGATAGAGACTTTTTTGCCTTATGAAATGTGTTCTTTAAAGACAGATCTTGAAAGAAGGCCATGTTCAATTTTTCCAAAATATGATTAGTTTTTCTGTAATTTTGTGTTAAATATAGGCAATTTCTATTTTTTTAAACTATTGTTTCCGAAAAACTAAATTTTTTCTTTAAATTTTCTGCTCTTATGTATCAAGGGACGGTAAAAAAAATATGGCATTATTCCCATTTTTGGCAAACTCATTGTATTTTCAAATATTGGAAAAAGTTAATATTCCAAAACTACAAAATTTAAGATAGAGATTCTTCAATTGACAAAGTCTGTTGTAAAAAAAGAAATGAGTAGTTTTTTGATTTGTGCTTGAAATTAATGCAATGTTAAAAACACAAACATTTTCTCAAAAACTGCTCCAAACTTTCTCTTCCATTTTTTAACCACGAATAGAAGTAGGGACATTTGAAAGAATGCTGTGGGTCTCACTTTTGTTGAACACTGAAATTTTGCAAAATTTATAAATAATACAAGAAAGTATGAAGTGTTGTAGTACCATTGGTTATTTTATCATTGAGTTTGTGCATACTGACATCTTTTGCCTTTTCTGCAGTTACAATCCCTTTACTAATTCTTTTCAAAAATTGATTTGGTTTCATCATTTATTTCAAAATAAAAAATGGTGAATCATTAATTTTGTAATTTTACAGTAATATAGTTAGTGTATAAGAATAGTGTCTTTCACACTAATTTCTAAAAATATTTTTTTGTTCAATAAGTGCATCGCAAATAATACTAGCTTGCAACGATTTTGTGGAATGAGATTGAATAGGTAATCAGGGTTAATTTTTGCGCACTAAATTCATATCTATATTTCATTTATTTGTAGCATGTCATAACTTTTCAAAATGTGGTCTGAAATTTTGAATTTTATGAAATAATATAATTTTAGACTATGCTTTTAAGTCTCGGAAATGCTGTGGGGCATAATGAAATATGTCAAATCTAAACTTAAGAATGTTACAAATTTTCAGATGAACACAAAATTCTCAGATTCCATCATATTTTTCTCCTTGCTGATATTACATTCAGTTACACAACAACAATAATAATAATAATAGTAATAATAATAATAATAATAATAATAATAATGTTATTATTACTATAATATATTATTATTATTATTATTATTATTATTATTATTATTATTATTATTATTATTATTATTATTATTATTATTATTCTTTTTAAGGAGGAAGAAAATCCTTTATGGATACCAGTGAAGCTGGTGATGTCCATAACACAGTCCCCACAACTAGGTTACCGACTAAAAACCTAACCTCCGTCTCTTAAACTGTATTCTCTCCCACGTGGGAACCGTCGTTAGACATTACTTCACGCAGGAGATTGGCTGGTAGCAGATGCTCTACTTCCTCTGTCTTAATTCTTTCTTCTTCATAATACTAACTATGAAGTTCTCTATGGTTTTCCATTTCTCCTGCGAGCTCAGCATCATGTTGACCATGTCGTCTGGATTTATAACTTGTTGGAGGTTAGCATTACAAACCTCTCGTTCCGCGTCCCAAGCCTTGCACTGGAATAGTGTGTGTTCCGCATCATCTATGTCTGCGGGACAGAGACTACATGTGGGCCTCTCTACGATCTTGAAATCATAGAGGTATTTATTAAATCCCCCATGTCCCGTAAGAGCCTGGGACAGGTTATAACCCTCCTCCCCAAAACTTCGTCTAACCCATCTCTCGATGTTGGTAATCAACCAATGAGTCCATCTGCCTTTGACATCCCCATCCCATCTTCCTTGCCATTCTTCAAGGAGCAACTTCCTTGCTTCAGCTTTAACACTCTCAATTTGCTTGGGAGGGAGATGACTGTCTGCTTGTGCTTCCTTCAAGGCGAGGTACGTCCTCTTTTTTTCCATGGTTATTAAGTCGATAGGTGGTGTACTGGCCAACACCAGCACTGCGCAAGTAGACACTGTGCGGTAGGCACACGTCACCCTCAAGGCCATTCGTCTTTGTACTTGGGCGTACTTGTGTCTGATAGACAGCTTTTCCAGCGAACCCGCCCAGACTGGAGCTTCTTACAACAACTGTGAGTGAACTATGCCAGATATCATTCTTCTCTTGGCTTCTCTCGGTCCACCGACATTCGGTTGCATTCTTGCGATGTTAGCTCCTGTTCTCGCCGCCATCTCTGCCATCACATTTATGTGGGGCCCGAAGCTGAGTCTATGGTCTATTTCGACTCCTAAATATCTTATCTGGTGCTTCCAGTTGATTCTCTCCTATCCCAGTCGGAGATCTGGGTAGTGAAAGACCCTCCGGTCGGTGATTAAGACAGCTTTGGTTTTTTGCACTGCCATCTGTAGCTGTCGTCTATCTAACCATCTTTTAAACGCCTAAACAGCGCTTCGTTCATTCTCAATTCGAGGAGTTCAATGTCAACGCTGTGGCTTATTATTAGTGTATCGTCAGCATAGCCTATGAGCTGCGTATCTTTCGGCAAGTCAATGCTTAGAATGTCATCGTACAGGACATTCCATAAAAATGGCCCGAGTCTGGACCCTTGAGGAACACAGCACGTCACATTCTCTTCTATCCTGATACTGTCCACATAAGTTATCGTCCTTTCTTGGAGGTAGTCTTCAATAAGCCTTATGAGATTTTCCGGAATCATCTTGTTAACTAACACTTCTATAATGTCCTTCCACCTAGCGGAGTTGAAGGCGTTTCTAATGTCAATTAACTCGAGCGCCCAGAATCCCTTCTTCTTGCCGACTCCTCTACTGGCTGCGTCTGCTTTATCGATGGCATTCGTCGTCGAGCAGCCTCTCCGGAATCCATATTGCCTGTGAGAAAAGCTTATGAGTCCCTCAAGCCTAGAGAGTATTAAACCCTCAAGCAGCTTGCCCGTGCTGTCAAGGAGACACAGTGGTCTGTATGATGTCTGATCTACCGGCTTGTTGCCCTTTCGGAGAGTATCAGTTTTGTCTCTTCCACGTCTTGAAAAATATCCCATCCTCAAGGCAGCGGTTATAGATTGACAAAAGGCATTCCGGATACTCCTGTGCCACTATTTTTAGTATTTCACAGGGAATTCCATCGAAACCTGGGGCCTTCCCAGTTTTCATGCTTTTCGCCGCTCTCCTCAGTTCGTCTATCGTGAAGTAATCTGCTGCGTCAACCGCGAAGTCGCTGTCTTTGTCTCGTCCAGGGATCTCTAGTGGGAAAGAGGTCCCTGATAGCTTTCCTCGTCCATCGTGGATCATTCAATCCAGGTATCTTTCAGTCCATCCTGAATTTCTTATTTACTATTTTATAAGCAATGCCCCATGGGCCGTTATCTATCTGTTCTAAGAGCTTTTTCCAGCATCTGCCTTTACTTCTTTTTATTTCTCTCTTAAGCCGTTTGGACAGTTCTTTATATTGTTCCCTGAGGTGCAGATTCGTCTTGGCCCTTGTCGCTATTCTTCTTGCCTTGTTACAGTTCGTTCGTAGTTCGGCTATTTCTGGTGTCCACCAATACATTTGCTGTTTCCTCTTCGGGCATATACGTCTAGGCATGGATGCGTCGCAAGCTGCTACTACTATTTCCTCCGTTACCTTGACCATATCCTCAAGCGTTTCCGCCTCTTTCGTCCAACCCATGTTAACCAGCAACCTGGATTCTTCCAAGGAGCGTTTTGTCTGGTCTTCATTCAATTGTTTGGTCTTCTAAGGTGGTCCTCCTTTATATCGCGTTTTGACATGATGCAGCCCCTCCGTTAATGGAGTCGAATATCCTATGTACCGATGGTCACTCAGGGTTTCGTCGTCACTGACCAATCAGTGTTGCCTTTAGCTAGCTTGGTGGAACTTATTGTCAAATCCAAAATAGATGATGCGGCTCCACGTTGAAAGATGTACTCTTTCCCAGTATTTAAGATGATCAGATCATTTCTTGCAATGAATTCACATATGATAGTTCCTCTTCTATTGGAGCGCGTCTCTCCCATTCAGACGACTTACCATTGAAATCGCCTGCCACTAATACCTCGCGCTTAGACGTTTTCAAGCTAGCCTCCAGCTCATCGATATCGTTCTGAAATTTTTCTAGCGTATCATTCGGAAAAAATAGCAGCTATAAATTCTCATATTACCCACTTCCAGCCATACAAACCCGTATTTCGTTCTCTTGTGGTTCCTGATATTCAGCGTCTTATTATGTATTATTATGCCGGCTCTTCCAGTAGCATCCTGACACCACATGTCGTACCACGTGTTTTTATCGGTTGCCAGTTGTTCGCTAACAACATGTCCACGTTTCTTTCAGTTGCAACTTGTACAAGTAGATCTTGTGCGATTTTGTTCCTTCCTAGGTTCACTTGCAGGAACCTTATTTTGTCGCTTACTTTGCTTGTTTATTTCGGCGTTGAATGAGGAGCATTTTCTGCTTCCTAGCATGTGGCCATCATTTAGATTTAATCCTTGCATATGACACATTTGGGTGTCTTGCTGCAGTCTTTTATCTGATGCCCTGTTTCTCCGCACTTGTAGCATGTATTTCTACGGCCAGGGCCCGGGCAGTTGGTGGATATGTGTCCAAAATCTAGGCATTTGAAACATCTTTTTACTTGTTGCTTGTCGCGCATCTGGCAGTTGACCCATTCTATCTTTATTTTACTCTTATCATTCTTCAGTAGTTGTGAGGCTATATCTGTAGGTAGCAAGACTGTCGTTTTTTGTGTGCTTGCAAACCCCTTATATAGTCTGCAATAGTTGCTTAGTTGTTCGGTCGGTGTGTCTAGGACCCTCCCGATTGCAGCTGCTACGTCATTTGCCGAAACAGTGTCGTCAATGTCTCTAATTTTTACAAGGGTTTTTGGTGTGAGTGTTCTAACTATAGCACTCTCCCCGACTGCCTTTACAAGTGCATTGTTAAATTATGATGCGTTCCCTTCTTTACCCAGGACAATTAGTAGATCCTGTTTCTGAGTTCTTCTTATTTTCTTAACGATTGTGTTGTGGTCTTTTGGATCGACTGCTCTTTTCATTTCTGTGAGGATATCAGCATATGTCGTTCCCTCTTTGGCAGTGATTTTGATGGCCTGATTCAGGGTTTTATTTCTTGGCCTGTTTTGATCGGTTTTCTCTTTCTCTTTTCTTTTTTCTTCTCTTGCCTCTTACTTCTTTTGCTCCGGTGGTTTCAGCCATCCTTCATCTCCCTCCACCACCATTTCCTGCTGTTCTGAGGCGTCACAGGTGACATCTGTTGACTCTGCCACAGCCTTCTGTTTTTCTTTCTTCCCTCTTCTAACGACTTCTTCTGGTGGGCTGGGTGCCTCTCTCTTTTTCCTTTGAGCCCGTGGTGGGTACTGTCTTTTTTCAATGCTAGTGACCTCTTCCCGTTTTACTAGGGATTGCATAGCCTTTTGGAAATCTGTCTTCCCTTCTAGGGCATCTTGCCATCTGTATCTTAACGCTTTGATGTTATCCCGGGCTTTAGACATAGCTTCCTTAACGCTTACCGGGTTATTTTTTAGCATATTCGCCTCCATCGTCTTGAGGTTTTCGTTTAGGCTATCAATGATAGTTGTCTGCTGATCTTCCAGTTGTTGTATGGTCTTCCATTTATTCATCAAAACACTCGTTGAAGTCATTTCTTCTGCGGGTCCTTTTCCTGTCTCAGGTCCCAGTCTCTCCCTCGCGGTGCCATCTCGTTCCGCAGTCGAGCTTGGATTTCGCTCCCGTGGTCGGTAGGTATCCCTGGAGTGGTTGGGAGTACTTGGAGGCGATCTCCGCAGCTTCGACCTCCGAGAAAAGGGGTTAAAACCTGCTTGCTCTATGCTTTCGCTTGTAGCAGTATAGTATTTCAGAGACGTCAAGCGGTCCACGCCTCTGAGATTGCAGTCGCTGGTTGACGACCTCCGGGTCCTGCTTGCCCACCCCCGGCTGCCGGTACTGGGGCTCCGATCCCCTGCACCGTAACGGTTGATCCCGAGGGACCTTCCATCGTGGGTTTCTTTTCGGGGTCACCTTCCCCTAGCGTTTTAACGCGTCTGGATTTGGTCCACGAGTGGTATTTTATTTCCCACCTACCCTCCGACGTGGCCGGTAGGAGCATTCCCCGATCCGCCACCTGGGGACGCGTCCGATAGGAAACCAGCTACTCCCACGGAATTATTATTATTATTATTATTATTATTATTATTATTATTATTATTATTATTATTATTATCATTATTCTCATCATCATTACCATTAAGGATAAGTATGATAATTAATGATATCATAGTTAATGGCAATCAATGATTCCCTTGGTTATACCTACCTATTGGAATACCAAAAGTTATAGATGGATAAATCTTTGAGACATACCAGTCACTGTAATGTTAATTTTTGAAGATTTTTTACTTCTATTGTATGTTTTGTTTAGGTTTTTAACAACTTTTTATACTTTTTCTGAATAAAAAAAGACACCAGAGACACCAAGCGGTCCACATCTCTGAGATTGCAGTCACTGGTTGACGACCTTCGGGGGCCTGCTTGCCCACTCCCTAATTAAATTTAAATACATACTTACTTTTGTACAGCAGAAAATAATTAATTTCACAGATGTGTGTAATTATAATATTACAATTAAATATTACATTTTTAAATTTATATATCATATTTTCCAGAATTAATGTCTATGTAAGACGTTTGGGTGGTGCATATGGAGCTAAAATTTCTCGTGCAACTCATGTTGCTACAGCTTGTGCTCTAGCTGCCTACAAGTTGAACAGACCTGTCAGAATGGTCTTGAACATTGAGGACAATATGAAATCCATGGGCAAGAGATTTTCTTGTGCTATTGATTATGAGGTGAGAACTACTTTTACAGAAGCTAAGGCTTAAAAAAATATTGGATTAGTCAAAATCTAATTATGGAGCCAAAGGAAATCAGGATGTAGTTCTAGAAGAATGACTTAACAAGAATTTTGTTGAATGGCTATCACTTGCAAATAAATTAGGATAAAATATAATGGAGTCTTATGATGATCACACTCGTCCTTTTTTATGTGTGAAGTGCAATTTTAATAGGATTATGAATACTTGCCTTAAAAATCAAGAATAAAATCAAGAATAAAATCAATAATAATGAAATCAATAAAATCAATCAAAGTCAATACACATTATTCTTTTTATACTTTCTACCTTTTCACAATTGCATTTTTCAGGTTGGCGTGGATGACAATGGAGTAATAAAGTACATGGAAGCCACACTGTATGAGAATGCTGGTTATGTTTTTAATGAAAGTGTTGTAGGTTTTACCATTCATCATTTTGTCAGTTGTTATGACCAGAGTACTTGGTCTGTGAAAGCAAGATCTGTCCGTACTGATCTCCCTAGTAATACTTACTGTCGAGCACCAGGTATGCGTTCAAGAAAAACATGTATTGTACATTTTCCATTCCCAAAACTATATTTTTGAAAACCTGAAAATATTTTTGTTTCATTATTTTAGGATCTACTGAGGGAATTGTGTTTATTGAAAATATAATGGAACATATTGCAAAAACTTTAAATAAAGATCCTATACAGGTTCGCATGAATAATTTGAAGAAAGATAGCCCAATCCAGAAGCTAACAGAAGAATTGAAGCAATCATCATCTTATGATGAAAGGGTACTTACCATTGAAGAGTTCAATAAGGTATATTTTAACTAAACATAATTAACTAAAAATACAATTTTTACATTTCTTCTTCTGTCTTGTCAGGATTAGGCTTGAGGTCTGTTGCGATCTCACCCTCTTCCTCAGTTTTCCTACACTTCTTTAGCCATGTGAATTATATTCCATTGCTTGTTTTTGGTATCCTTTCTAGTAGCATATGAAGGATATGCTCTCTCCAGTTTTCTTTATGGTGGATTCGATTATTGTTTGCAGCCATGGTTCGTTGTTGATTTTGGAATTGGTCTTCTCTGGTGCAGCCTTCAACTGATCTCAGAAATTTCATTTCTAGCATGTTTAGGATCTATATTTCTGAGTGTTCAGTATTCCGTGGGATGTCCAAGACCCCATATAGTAAAGTGAAGGCTGCCATGACCTTATATAATTTTAACTATGTTTCTTTTTGTGTTCTTGCTTTAAGAGATCTTCTAATTATGATACTAATTTGTTGATTTCTTAATATCTTAATCTTAATAAGATTTGTCACAGCCCAAATACTGGAAATGAGATACCTGTTCTATTGTTTTGTTATTTAGGACTGTTTTTGTTCTAATTGGGTAAACCTGTAAAAGCCATTGTTTTGGGTTTTGTTATGCATATTTTCAGGTTATAGGTTAGACTTAGTTCATTAAGCCTATGTAGTGCCATTTGTAATTTGTCTTCACTGACTTGATCATCATTGAAAAGCAAGGTTTATATCTGTTTGATCGAATTTTTAATTCCTGATGGTGTTCAGTTTTCCATTCTCTAATCATATCATCTATAAATATGTTCAATAGAGTTGATGATGATCCTTGTTTCACTTCTTGATTTGTCTGTATTTCAGATGTCAATACTTTACCAGAGTCAATTCTAATTCTGATGTTATACAGACTTTTTGAAATCTGAATCAAATGTTTAGGGAATTCCCATTTTTCCATTTCATACCATAGCTCTTTGGATCATATCAAATGGTTTTTCAAAGTCCACAAAGTCTAGGTGTGTCCCTATATTAAATTTTCACCTCTTTTGTGTTACCTGTTTTGGAGCAAAAGCATTATCTGTGCATGAACTTTTCTTGCGGAAACATGCTTGTTCTTCTGTTATAATTGTATAGGAGATACTTCGAGGCCTTTCGTTAACTATTTTACTCTAAAACTTGTAGGCTGAATTGGGAATACTTCTACCTCTTTCTCCTTTCTTAAATATTGAAATGACCTTTGCTATTTTTCATTCATCTGGTACTTCATTATTTTCCCGAACATATTGAAAAGGTGAATTCTGAATTTTAAAAGGATTGCTCTATATTTGATCATTTGAGAGTTTATTCTGTCTAAACCTGGAGATTTTAGATTTTTCATTTTTCTTTAATTAATTTAATTCCATGTAAACTATTTCTGGCAGTTAAAATTTAAGGTTTATAATTATTAAAATTATAAACATTAAACTTATGCATATTATTATTATTATTATTATTATTATTATTATTATTATTTTGTTGTTATTGTAGTTGTCATTACTATTATCATTTTTTCATTACTTTCTTTTGTTCAGGAAAATCTTTGGAAGAAACGAGGAATTGCTTTTGTGCCTATGGAGTATCCCTTTGGTTTCTGGGGGAATTTCCATGCAATAGTTTCCATTTATGCTGGAGATGGGACAGTGGCTGTAGCTCATGGAGGAATAGAGTGTGGCCAAGGCATTAACACAAAGGTACATACAACAAAATACAATTTTGATTTGTTGATATACAACTATTTCAAATTTCAAGTATATTGGCATGTTATTAACAGAAAACTACACAATGCAACAAAGTAGAAAGCATTTTAAAAAGAAATATATTATATTGTGTGATCATGCAGTGTATAATGAGCTTTCAACATTTTCATATGTAGTGTAAGGAAGATAATTATAATGTTGCAAAACACTAATGTGGATATTTTGAAGGAAATACAAGTTTTAGAGGACTCTGATCATTTTTCCTGATCAATCCTATTTGACATGAGGCCTGTGTTGAAAAGAATCTTTTAATTTTTGTAGGTACTTTACATGAAGCCCATTGGAACCCATTTTTGAAGTTTTCTCAAAAATCGCTCAAAATTTGTACTTTACATTTTTTCTTGAATAGATCAGAATCCACTTCCTTCCTTCACCATCAATTGTTAAAGCTAGTTCTGGCATAATGCAATGTATTAATCAATATTAGATTTTGAAATAATTTTAAATATGGTTTTATCTAAACATTAGGTTTTCACCTAATTTTAAGTGAAGTTCTGACAATTTTTCAAAAGTACGTAAGAAGAGTAATTAAGATTTTCTCAAAATGGCTCCAAATTTTTTCTTTAAATGTTTTGTCTGGATAGAACACATTGTTCTAAATCACATGTCAGAAGCACCGTTGATTAAAACTTGCTTTTCAAAAATTACGCTTGCAAATTTTTTCACACATTGTTAATATTAACATTAAATTAAATTTCATAATTTAATGCTTTTGTGGAGACAAAGAATTTAATACTTTTGTGGAGACAAAGTCTTCAAACTATTTCTAATAAAGTTTTTTGAAATGGCAAAAGTCCAAATGTAAATGAGCTCAAAATGGTGTTTTTTCATATAAGCCCAAACACACTTTTCTCATAACCTGTTCCAAATTTTTACCAAAATATTTCCACATGAAAAAGAAGTTTTGCTCTTCTGAGATATTCTGAAAGCCTCATTTCAATTAAGCTTTAAAGAGACTGAAAATTTGAGAAAACGTGAAATTATGTATGTTTGTTTTGCTAAAGCACATTTTTCTCAATAGGAATCTTCTAGGAAAGAAAACTAAACCATTGAGGTATGTGAGACAATCTGAAAATATTATACTCTACAATTTTTTGTAAAGTTATTTACATCTGAGAAAATTGTTCATTAATGAGTGTGTGGGTGAATCTTTTTAAAGTTAAAAGAACTTCGTAACATTGTTGCTATGGGAAAGAATGAAGTTGAATATTTGTGATATATTCAGAGTTGCAATGCACATTCTTGGCCATGTATGCATAAAAAGGTTCAATTTTGTTCGTGAAGTGGGTTTGCTTAATAGTCATAATGTACAGCAGCATAATGTTTAAGCAGTTTGACAAAAAAGTATTTGCACAGAGCTAAAATATGAAAAGTACATAGTTTGCAATATAATAATAATTATACATAATCACTACTAATAATACAAAAAAGTTTATTTCCTTGTAGTCTTCTTCACTTACATAAATATTTATTCTAAACACTTTTCATGTCTCCTTCCCATAAAATAATGAAAGAACATCGCTCTTCCTAAAATGATTTAATATCCAAACCAATTACTATTCCTGACTGTTTTATTATTTTTTTTTTCAGGTCACACAAGTATGTGCTCATATTTTGGGTATCTCTCTCGACCTTGTTAGTATAAAGCCAAGTAACAATTTGACTGCTCCAAATGGTATGGTAACTGGAGGCAGTATTGCAAGTGAAGCTTGTTCTTATGTAAGTATAAATCCATTTATGTATTTTGTTAGTTCTTTTTCAGATTACTATTTCATGTGACACCTAGATGTAAAAGTCAGAAGCATGAAGCGAAGCAAAGCTAATACTGGTCAACTTTTACCAGAGAGGACATTGTGACTGAAAATCCTAATTATACTCATTTTAAAGTACTGGCTATTAAATTATCAAGCACCCTTTTCGTTGTTGAGTGTTAATTGAAATTGTGGACTATTGTTGCCAAAATGAATTCAAAATTAAATATATTATTTTAATTAAATTAAATATATGAAAAGGATACTTTCTACAGTGTTGCTTTCATTTGCAATATAATACTTGTAATGGAATATTTATTACTAAAACATCAAATTAAAAATTTAAGATATATCTGCATAAAAAATTAGAAGTGAAATGGGAGATAATTCACTGGAATGTGATAAAAATATTAGTTTTTGATTTCAGGCAACCATGATGGCATGCAAAGAACTCCTCAAAAGACTAGAACCTGTCAAAAAAACAATGGATCACCCAACATGGCAGCAATTAATAGCAGAAGCATATAAACAAAATGTGGATCTTTGTGCTACTTACATGTAAGTCTAGGGTTTATTTTTTTCTTTCTTCAGAGAATGGTTCACTTAATTTATTATCATAATTTATTTGATGACAATATCATAACCAGACATGGAGAGTCTTCCCAAGTCTATCTGGTAACCAGTTGTCAACTTTTATTTATGTTAATTTCTTTTCAATAACAATTCAACTAAGAAACAAAATAAATGAAAATGTAAACTTATAGCTCAGATAGAAATTTGGAAAATTACTTGCTTGAGAATATGGAACTTTACGATGCTGGTGTTTGCATGTGTGGGCAGTGTGTATATGAGTGTGTGGTGTATGAATGTGTGTGATGTGTACGGTGTATGTGAGCGGCATGTTTCTTGGGTGTATGTGTGCATGTGTGTTTGTGCTATAACACAAGAAAGGAAATTAAAAATAACATGGCAGGAAAGTAACCAAGAACATAATATGGTACTGAGCAAAAGAGGCTGATGGTAAAATGAGAAAGAGGAAAATCAATTGAATTAATGATAAAAGCTTATTTTCTCCATTTTCATTCAGTTATTAATTTTCCTTTATTAATATTCAGCATTTAATTTTCATGCAGTTATTCTTTTTTTCACTCAAACAACTTTATGAAAAGACCTTGTGCAATAATGTCTTTCTACGAACAACTCAGGTAGACACTATTGACATCCCAGGACACTAAAGCAAGAATTCCTTAGGTGCTTCAATTTAAAATGTTGCACATTGTAGTCTTCCCTTATAGTGATTGTTTATCTGTGTGCTGTTGTGTGTCTCTTTTATTTTCCATTATTATGCTACTTATACACTACTCAGACTAAATTTACACATGGAGACCACTCTTGAAGCTCATCATCATCATCATCATCATCATCATCATCATCATCATCATCATCATCATCATCATCATCAACGACAACGACAACGACAACGACAACGACGACAACGACGACGACGACGACGACGACCACGACGACGACGACGACCACGACGACGACGACGACGACGACGACGACGACGACGATTAGAAATCTTGATCAGTTCCGTCTCGAAATTCTTCACATCATCTCAAGGGATGTTCTGTACTTCTTTTTCCTTTAGATGTATATTGAAGAATAATTTTATTTAACATATATTCTAGCATTTCCAGGTCATGGCCTTTCCAGTTTTCTTGATATTTCTTTATGATATCTATAACAGACTCAATATTAATTCTTCTCTGATATTTTGTTTTTTTGTGGTGTAATAATGAATGTCAATGTCTGCGAAAAAATCAAGAAATCTCATTTCTGCAGATTCAATTCTCCACAGCTTATCTGATGTTAATATCTAATTCTTGTTTCCATAAAGTAGTAATGACAAGGAAATAACTTTATAAAATCTAAGTAGAGTTTTTCTTTTCACATTATGCTTTAGAGTTTGTTACAACATTCCAGAGAAGTGTGTTGAGCTTTATTTCCGTATTTCTTGATTTAATATTAATGAATGACATTCAAGATATTTAAATTCATTAATTTGTTCAATTATTTGGCCATATATAACTATCTTTGCTCCTAAAGGCTCAAGTCCATTTAATGGCATCACTTTTGTTTTATTTGATGAGATTTTCATACCATATTCATTAGCAATCTGATTTAATTTGTGAATCTATTTGAGTTTCATATTCAGATTTTCCTATGATAAGCTATTATTCCTTATCAGATTTCACAAGTGCTTTCAATGTGCGCAAGGAAAGTGGATCTCCAGTGGATTATAATGTTATTCCGTTATTATAATGTTGACCTCAGCCTTAGGGGAATATTTCTCCAAAAAGTTCGGGATTGAATCAGATTAAAGAAAGAAGTAATTTAAAGGAAAATTTAAAAAAATGAAAAGATTTGTCATTAAAAATTATTTCCTTCATAGGTTCACAAACAAGGATGATGTGAAAAACTATAGCATTTATGGAGTTACTGTTGCTGAACTGGAAGTGGATATATTGACAGGTCAACAACAGGTATGTTTTAACTTTTTTGCCTTACTACATACTTACATAGTAAAGAAAATGTATTATAATGTTGCAGCGAATATCTACGAATTTTTGACAGAACTCATATTGTCGGGCCGAGGAACAAAAAGAGGATAAATCTTGTTCCTGTATGTAGTAAATTACTTCCTCTAAAATATTTCAACTCGGATAGGAACCTGAGGCACTTTTAAAACTAATGTAGATCAAGAACTCGTTAAGGTGGGAAATGAACTCAAAACAAATATTGTATCTTAGGACCAATTGAATGAGACCTATGCCAATATAGTGGAGATCTTGGGCAGCTTCTCTGCACTCACCACCATCAGTTCTAAAAGGCCCTGTAGACATGGAGGCAAACATACTAGAAAGCGCTACTCTTATGCTAGGGCACAATACCTTTTCAATAATGATCCAGTGCTTTTGGCAAAGAGCATTAGATCAGGTATTGACTGTAGTAGTGTTGATAAACAGCCCCTTAACAGGGATGAGGTTAATGAGCAGTACAAATCCATCTGGGGTAACATTGCCCCGATTTGACTTTCCAGATTAAGAGAGGGTGATAAATTGTTGACACCTGAAATGGACCCAGACACAATTCTATACGCGGTGCAAGTTGCCGAAATTCAAACTTGTCTGGCTGGGATGAAAAATGCCATGGCTCCAGGACTTGGTTAGATAAAAGTTAGCCATATATCCTCAGGAGCAAAAATTGAAATATTGTCCCTCTTGTACACCCAAATTTTGTACAGTGGCTTTGTGTCTTCTGGGTGGAAAACTAATCGCACCATCCTTATACCAAAAGAGGGTAAGGATAATACGGTGGTCACTGACTATTGCCCCATCACAATTAGTTCTCTGCAGTGCAGAATCTTATGGGGCATTATGGACAAACGCATTCGATCTGAGGTGAAGTTCAATCCACACCAGAAAGGGTTTATCCCTGAACCTGGCTGTTTTGCTAATATTCAAATTCTTCATGAAGCAGTCGGTGACATGAAAGAAATAGAGGGTTGTGTAGGTGTTGTGCTAGATATATCCAAAGCATTTGGCACTGTTCCTCACGTGGCGTTTCGGTGGGCTCTGTCCAGGAAAGGGATCCCTGACACCTTTACCAATTTGGTAATGGACTCTTATGCCGATGTTTCCATCATCATTCAGCATCCCTCGAAAGGAATTGAGGTGCCAATTTGTAGAGGAATAAAATAGGGGGATCCCTTGTCCCCACTCTTTTTTAATCTCATCATGGAGTGCCTGTTTGAGAAAATGTAAAATATGTCCGGATTCACACTATTGGGAAGGAGTGTGTCCATGTTAGCATTTGCTGACAATCTGGTGCTGTTAGCAAAAGATGCCCTGCGAGCTCAAGAATTGGTTGATATTGTGGTGGAATATCTTGGGGCCCTCGAAATAACATTGTCCGTTCATCATTGTTCATCATTTCTAATTACAACTTTTGAATGATCCTGGTTCACTGAGGACTCCTGTCTGGAAAGGTTGGGGGAGAGAATTCCCCTCGGCAATGATCATACTCTTACATACCTGGGAGTGAACTACTCTATCTGGTCCGGCTTCCCATCTAAAGCATCCATATCAAATTTGATGGAAGCAGTGTCGAGGCTTCAAAAGGCGCATTTAAAGCCCACTCAGAAGTCGGCATTACTTCATACCTACATAATTCCACATTACCTTTATCAATTGGTTCTATCCATGTCATCAATGTTGATGCTCAGGGAAGCGGACAGTCAGATCAGAGTGGCATTCAAACAGTTCCTACATTTGCATATGAGTACTGCAGATGACTTATTCTATCTGGTCAAGAGGGATGGAGGACTGGGATTGCTGCACATTCCTAAAGTTGCGCTGAACCTAGGAGTACGATTATAAAAATCTGCAGATCCTATTTGCAGATGGTTAAGCTCCTGTCCGAATTTTTACCAACAGTCACTAAAGACTGCAAAATCATTGAGACTCAACTGGCCGTATTCTGAACAAGATTTAAGGGCTTGTAAGAAGAAATGTGCTGATGACGTAGCTGCCTGGGAAAAGCTGGGATCCCAAGGGACTGGTCCCAAACTTGGTCTTTTTATCACTGCACTCCAATTGAGATCAAATACCTCTGCCAATAAAACTACTCTTAGTAGAGGAAGGGGCAGAGAAGATGTATACTGCAGGAAGTGCAATACAGCGGTAGAAACCATGAATCACATCCTCAGTCAGTGCATTTTTATGAAGCCAGCAAGAATAAAGCGTCATAACAAGATCAAAACCTTCGTAGAAGGGCCGATGCCCCGGAAATTGGACACTGTGGGGTCCACAGAAGCTCCTTTCTTCGTTGCTGAAGGGGTTAGACTCAAACCTGACCTAGTAATAAAAAGACGAGAAGGGGTCCACGTGGTCAATGTGACTGTCCGCCACGAGGATGGGCCTAGCCTCCTGAAAGCAGAGGAGGAAAAGGTAAAATACCAACCAGTCATCCCCCTGGCAACCCAACTTCATGGATTACCCAAAGCCAGAATCCTGCCAGTGGTGGTTGGAACCTCTATGCCAAGATTCACAGTCAAGCGCCCTCAAGACTCTGGGGATCACGTCTCGAGGCGATCTACTGACTATCTCATTAATTGCTCTCAGAAGCTCTATTAAACTTTACACACTATTTGCAAATTATGATGGAGCAATTTAGCATTGCTGGTAGTAAATGCAGGAAAGAATCTTCAAGTGTAGGAATCCCATTGGATCTTAAAATGCCTAGGAATTACTCAGTTACCATGACTTTAAGTTGGAGGTATATGCTATTTAATATAGCATATAGAAAATTGTACAGTAGAATGAATGTTTTGTGGGTCATTGATACAGAAAAATCGATAGATGACATTGCAAAACATCTGTCTGTTGATTTGCAGTCAACCCTAGTGCCTAAACCTTTCAGTCGACTTTCCCCAAAATTCATATATCCTGATCGATCTAACAAATTCGAGGGTCTGCAAGTTTGAAACAGATATTTTGATTTTGGGGATTTTGTACAAGTAGCCCCAATACGTTCAGACAAATTCAGATGTTTTAACAAAAATTAAATGGGCGCCATTTTTCAATGTTCTTTACACGATCAGGTACACGATCAAGTTTAATAAAAAAATTCTGAGCCATTTTTGAAAAAATATAATTTATATTTATTATTATTATAATATTTTTTAAAATAATTATGTTCTCAAAAATGGCTCCAAATTTTTGACTTATTTTCCTCATATGTAGCAATAGTTGGTAAAAAATTGTGCTAGTTTCTTGTTCAGAACTCCATGCATTTTTGAAAATTGCAAAAAATTAGCATTGCAAAATTAAATATTGATGGTAGAAATTTTAAAAAAAATAAAATCTGTTCTAAGAAATCAGATCTTTATTAAAGGTCATGTACAATTTTTTGAAAAATGAGTATTTTTTTGAGATTACTGCTTGAAGCATGCAATGCAATTTATAAAAAAAGATCTCAAAAACAGCTTCAATTTTACTTTAATTTTTTTTAATGGATAGAGTAAAGGATGCCTAGAAAATGGCACAGATCTCATTTTTATTGAACACTGAATTTTTGAAAATTGCAAAAGTGCGATATAATGCCAATAATTTTTAATGTATTATCATTTTAAAGGGTGTTACATTTTCCTTTTTATAATACAAATGCAAATTTGAGTTCTGTACTTCTAAATATCTCCAGTAAGGTTGTAGGTGTATCATTGCATTTCTTAAATGATAATTTGTCCATTAAGTATCTTAAAGAATGTTTTGATCTTTTGAAAATTATGATAAAAAGGGCCTGGATTGTAAGGATTTTATAAATTTTAGCTTTAATCATTTCAACTCTTTAAAAAGTTGATTTAGCTCATTTTAGGTCTTTATGATTTTTTCTGATCATGACAATATTGGGCTAAACTAATTGCAATAAATAAGAAATTTAAATTAGTAGCTCATTTTATTCAATGTTTTCACTTCTGATTTTAAACAAAGTATTCTTCAACTATTGGAATAGGCACACAGGGGTCGATTATGATTATGATAATGACACTAAAAATGTGTTTTATTTCATTCCCCTAGCACCTAAGTGTGTGGCCAACTATGAAAAAGTACATCATTGACGTAATTGATGGTATGCAACAAACTTCAAAATTAATTTGTATCCCTCTGAATGCAGCAAATTGTTTTATGATGAGACTATATTCTTTTTATCATAGTATTTCCATGGGTATGCTAATAAAACTTCAAATGATTGTTATATAGAAATTATATGCTCAAAAGAGCAGGTTTTTTTGTTTATTTTTTGAACAATTATTCTGTTGTGTAGGCTATGGTAAAAAAAAACATGCTCATTTGATCATGAAATGGTGTCAAACAGAGAGAAAATCTCTTTGTATTCTATAAACAGTGTTAGGAAACTATATATTTAATGAATTTTGAAGTGTCATATCTAAGAAACTCAATAATTTCTCATTAAAGGTTAGTATTATTAATACAAGTAGAATGAACATTTTCTCTATTCTTCTGTGTAAACAAAACCATTTTTTCACCATTTACCCTTTCTTGTGATGTGCACCAATTTTTCAAGAACCCTTGGAAGGTGTAAAAGAGGTGTTAACTGTATTGTTCATGTCAAGTCAAGATGTAACAAATCTGTAGATCACCAATTAGCATATCTTAACTTTACAAATTGGCGATGAAGATACAATAGCCAGAAATAAAAATACCAATACATATTCCAAATAAAAAATCTTTTGCAGATCTTACGTGTGGATCTCATTGAAGATTGTGGCATAAGTTTGAGTCCAGAAATTGATGTGGGTCAAATTGAAGGAGCTTTTGTAATGGGTCTTGGATATTATCTCATTGAAAATCTCGTATACCATCCCAACAATGGAGAACTACTTACTAATAGAACTTGGGTATGTATACTATGAATCACAGTTGCACATGATACCTTTCAATCATTGTATTCTCTTGAAGAATCTTTGTGACTAAGGGGAAATGTGAATGCCCGCTCCAGAATTCACCTTCAAAATAAATCTACAGTTTCCGTACAGTACAACTTAATTTAGAGGCAGTTGACTTTCCTTTTTTTAATTTTATCTGTAAATTTTCCTTTCTTTTAGAATTATAAAACACCTGGGGCTAAAGACATACCAATTGATTTCCGTATACAGTTCAGAAGAAATGCACCTAATCCTACTGGTGTTCTCCGATCAAAAGGTATTTTAAAATTTTTATTTTAGCAAAACTATAAAATAATAATTTTATAGGTATTGTTATAATATTTTATATTAGTGTGTTATACTTACAGGTATGTCATATTATTGTTATATAATGAAATAGGTATTGTTAAACATTGCTATATTACAACAGCAATGAGGATTCTTTCTGTTCTGGAAGTTTGTTCTAGAATTTGTTGGAATAGATTACGTGACAATGTTACATATATATGGCTATTATCCTTTCTAAATGCTTATTTTGATTTTTATCTCTTAATTACTGCCCAGATTTCTGGGTAGTTGATATATTCTGTAAATGCATGATACATTTTTGTTTTGTTCAAATCATTTATTAGTTCTGGAACAATTAAAAATTGACATATGTTCTGATTTCTTAACATTCTCAATTTATAGGCCTTTTCCATTTAATTAAAAATAGATAATTAGTATGGATCCTTCTTTGGAAGTGATAATTCCTCTTACTCCATTTGGAATGTATGTGTGTGATTTGTTTTAATTGAACTTTTTAGCTACTGGCGAACCTCCACTTTGTATGAGTTGTGTGGTTATTTTTGCTCTGAGAAATGCATTGGATTCAGCACGAAAAAATGCTGGAAAATCTGAGAAGTGGTATAAATTTGGTGGGTGCCATATTGTCTTGATTATTTTATTATTAATTCACTGTTAACCTTGTGTTTAATTAAATATTTTTATAATTGTAGATGCTCCAGCAACTACTGAAAATATATTCCTGACTGGTTTGCCTGAGGCTGATAGATATATCTTGTAATATGATGAAGAACAGATCATTCCACAAAAACCTTTTTTTTTTTTATAAGTGATGCACATAAAATGAAATGTCATTTATAACAAGAAATTTTGGACAAGATTATTTTTAAAACTCAGATTGATGAGTATTATTAATGTTTTATGACATCACTGTATTACACATCACAATTCTGTGACTATACCTTTTGAATATTTCATCATTATGTGCATGCATAATGCATAAGTTTCAGCATTGATAATAAACTTGATTTGGAACTACTTGTTACTTCCTCTAGTGCTTGTTTCCTTTCAAAATTGAGGCGAAAGGTTAAATTTTGGAAATTGAAGGATTGTGTGTGCTAAACTTGAGGTAAAAGTAATGCCATTTTCTGGTGTTTTAAAAATATTTAAGATCACATTTTTATGTTATATCCGTTGTAGTTTCATTAACTGGCATAAATCAAATCAATGGAATTATTTTCTTGCTGCCTTTTCTGGTCTTGGGGAATATTTCATGTATTTATAGCTATCACAAATTTGAATTTTATAATTTTATAAGTGTTACTGGAAAAGAGTTCAGCAATGAAGATCACCTTAATTTTCTCAAGGCTTGTGGAATAATTAAAAACAGATTACCAAGAGTATTAAAATGGTGATATCACATTCAAGTTTAAATATTTCTTTCACAGCATTGATTGCAATGGTGTAGGCACTAACAATATTAAGATATACAAAAAGATTTTTGTATTGGACACAAATATGAAAATTGTTGTCTGTGGCTGTTAATATCATCTGACTATGTGATATCTGCTTATTATTTTTGTATGGTACATTTTATGTACAGAATTAATAAAATCAATATTAGTTAAATTTCCTTTTTTTATATCTTATAAATGATTATTCATTAACAATAAAATTCAGCATGGGAAAGAAAACCTGAGAAAGGTTAGATTTTATTAACTTGCTCAGTTTTCTCAGAGTATTTTGACACTGTTTACACTTAAAATACTAAATTCTAATATAATTGTTGGAATTACGGACAGCTCGCACCCCAGTCTGTCGACACACAGATCTTTGGTTACAGGCAGATTCTGGTGGATTACAACTTGTGACGCACAACATACAATTAGCACACACCAAACCACATGCGTTCTCCTCGATGGTCACAGACACAGTATGGCTCTAGTCAAAGAGTACACTGGACTGTCAGTCGATTGCTCGGCACATCGATAGGCACTCTTCTGATGGGATTGTACCGCCCTGTCGATAACTCCAACACTTCCCCTCATGACAATTCCCCACACTTCACTTGACATTCACCAGTCCAAGCAGCTCCACGCACTTCTCATGCTTCGACCTGGTGAAGGCCTTGGTGAAGATGTCGGCTGGCATGTTCACCGATGCCAGATGCTCCAACTTGAGTTGCCCAGACTCCACAACTTTCCGAACAAAGTGATCGCGAACATCTGTGTGTTTTGTTCAAGACCGAAAGACCGGATTTGTCGCCAGTCTCTGACACTCCATTCCTTTCATACTTTTTCCTCAGAACGAATCTGCGCCCTATCACACCCCTATTTCCCGGTCTTGGCACCATCTCCCGGGTTTTCTTCTCTAGTGTGGCCTTTACCTCGCTCGCCATAGCCTCTAACCGTTCCTGAGAGTCTTCAGCAGAAAGAGCTTGCTTGACCGAAACTTCGGTTAAGTTCGCAACCTCAGCCCGCTACTCTACACGCTGGCCCTCACGCCTGCCCTCCGGACTGACCAAGCGAGGTCTTTTTGGCTGCCCAGTGTAGATCTTGCGAGGTCTTCCAGGTAGCCGCCTGACCAAGGTCTCTGGCTCATCTGGCGCGAATCCGCGAAAATCTTCGCCATCTAACTCTTCCTTTACTGTCTCCCTATCTCTGCTGTTCCGAGCCGGGCGTGCAGGAGGGTCACGGCCGAGGTTCAACACTATGAAAGGACTTGCATCGGCTTCCTCATCATCCCTTCTCAGCACCCTGGGACCTTTTCAGCATGGTGCTCCTCCGGTTGGAAGTCTTCAGACTTGGTGCTAGATTCCGTCAGCGGCTGTGACACGAACTTGACGACTCTGGATACCTCGACCTTCCACTCACTTGGTATCCATATTTTGAATCCCTTAGTCTCCGCACCGAAGCCCACAGAGAAGCCCTTTCTGGAGCGCGGCTCGAGCTTACCTCTTCCGGGTGACCTGTCCATGACGAAGACTTCACAGCCAAATCGCTTGAAGTCGGATACATCTGGTGCTCTTCCGTAACCAGACTTCATCGGGTGTCTTCCCGTTTAGTTTATGCGAGGGGCATCGATTACGGATGAAATTTGCCGTGTTCACCGCCTCAGCCCAGAGAGAGGAGGGCAGCCCTGACTGGATCAACAAACACCTTGCCGTGTCCATCAGCGTGCTATTCTTCCTTTCGGCTACACCATTCTGCTCGGGATTGTACGGAGCCGTTACCCTTCGTGAGATGCCGTGCCTCTTCAGTAGTTCGTCGAACTCTCGGTTCTTGGACTCCAATCCATTATCCGGCTGGAGGCACTTTATTTTCTTCCTCTGCTTGGTGTCCATGGCGGAGCTGAAGCTGTCAAATTCATTGACAGCTTCGCTTTTGCTCTTCAGAAATTTTACTTCACACCAGCGCGAATGGTCGTCAATGAGTTTGTAGAAATACTTGGTCTTCCCATACGATGTCACGCGCATTGGTCCACATATGTCGGAATGAATCAAGTACCCCGCGACCGATGAACGTTCTGAAGCTTTTGGGAACGGAGTTCGGCACATCTTCCCCTGCAGACAAACCCTGAATTCGAGATCTTGGTCGATGTTGTTCACGACGATACCTAGCAGATGTCCATTCTTAACAGCATCACGTAAATCCGGAACGTTCGAATGTCAGAGACGGATGTGCCAGTCTTTGCTTTCCGGTCTCTTCCGCACGTCTGCGTCCTCGGCAATCGTCGCGCACTCACCATTCGTTTGTTTTATTTTTTATTATAAAGGAGTACAGGGCGTTCTCGCGCCTCGCGGAGAGCAGCTCCCCGTCGCCGTCTAGAACCTCGCCCTTTGTCTTCCCGAAAAGGACCTTGTCCGTAATCTTGCTCACTGAAATCAAGTTCGTGCTCATGTCGGGTACCGACAGTGTGTTTTGAAGGTTGATCGCCCTCACGCTCCCATTCACTTCTGCCCTCGTTGAAACAGAGCCCTTTCCCCTCATTTCCGTGCACGCGTTGTTGGTCAGGTTTAATTTTCCATACCCTTTATCGTCGATAGCCTTGAAAGGTCTAATGTCCTTGCACATGTGCGAGGTACACCCACTATCGATGCACCACGCGTTCCGGCCCTCGCCGCCACCGGTACGTAAACTCACCTCCGGTGTGTTCCTCGGCACAAATAGAGTAGCGTCCTCGGCACCACCAGCGGTCTGCTGAATCTTCAGGTCTTGTACCCTTCTAGCCAGCGGACATTCCTTGCTCTATGGCCGGCTCACATAGCACTTCATCCTGGAATCCCTTTCCGACTTCTCGCCATTCATGCGATTCCTCGACCTGCTTCCCCCAAACTTCCCGGCGACCATAGCGCTTCGACTTGCACGTCTCCTGGAGTCCTCCCGCGAATCGAACTCTTCTCCGATTTTGATTCGCAGGACATCGCGCTTCTAAAGTTGTCGAAACTGTCGGGCAAACTTCGCTGCAAGATTACCGCCAGCAAGTCTTGGTTGATGTTTATTTCCATGACCGACAGCGTGTACACTACGTCGAAGAATTCACGAGCGAATTCTCACGCATCGCCACCATCTTGCATTCTCATAGAGATGAACTGATTCAGGAGCGCGGCTTCTCGGGCAGAGTCTTTTGACTGGTAGATTCCCTTTAATTTTCTCCACATGGCGAGCGACGTCTCGCATCCCTTAATCTGCTTTATTTCGGTCGGGTTTATGGCGAGGATGATGTCTGACTATGCCTTCAAGTCGGCTTCCATCCACTGTTCGATGGCGTCGGCGTTGGCCCCTGTTGCTTCCGGCTTCACTTTCGTGTCGTTCACGTAACCCCAGGCATCGTTCTTTATCAATATTGCGCGCATCTGTATCTTCCAGGTGTTGTAGTTTTCCTTATTCAGAGTTTCAAACCTTACGCCGGACGTATTCATTTTCTCGGCCTACGTGTTTTAAAACAAAAGAAAAGAAAAAGATAACCTGACTTCGCGCACGTGCTCAAACTGTCCTCACGTATCTATTCGCGTAACTCTGGGCGCATAACCTGTCGGAATTATGGACAGCTCACACCCCAGTCTGTCGACACACAGATCTTTCCCTGATTACAGGCAGTTTCTGGCAGATTACATTGTACAATTCGTGACGCACAACACACGGTTAGCACAAACAATCACGGACAGTTTTACATACTCCAATTCTGCGCGTGAGTGAGTGCAAACTAGTCAGAAACGAGTCCCGGATTGGGATCTGCTGGAACAAGTAGGGGCAAAAATTAATCTCTAGGTGGCGCTGCTTTCGTTTCATCGGTAGTTGCAGAATTCTCAGCCAGATATTTTCGTATCGCGTGTAAAAATCAAAGCGACCTGACCCTGTTTAGTTCCTGGTATTCTTGACCTCGCTATCAATTACAGATTTTGAACTTGGTAAACTGTGACTTGCGCTATTTTTTTTTGAATATTTTTTTGAAGTTCAGTTAATTGAATTTTTCTTAAAATGAAAGATAACGATAACAATACAGAATGGTAAATAACTACCCACATATTTAGTAAGTCACGGAACAAGGTACTTCCTTAAAATTACTTACCTTCCATTTCCCAAAAACAGAAAAAAATATCAAGATCCAATATCCACAAGAAAATCTGAAAGATAGCTAACTTACCAAAATCGAAGAATCTAGTTTTAGATTTATTTAGTCAAAAAAGAAGTAAAAAATTGTACATGTGACGTATGGGGGAGAAGATGATCTGCGCATGTTTTCTTGAGTTTCAGAATCCCTTCCCATCATTTTAACTATAAATAAATAAATAAATAAAAATAAATTTTAAAGAAACGCGGGATTAGTAATTCTTGAAAAAACAATAAAACTTAAAATAAAGCAGGGCCAAATTCCAATATCCACGAGAAAAATCCGAAAGAAAGCGAAGTCACCAAAAACCAAGAATCAATAAAATGTAAAACAAGGCAGGGTCAAAATATACAGAGCGGAACATAAAACAACTATGCAGAAACATAACGGAAACATAAATGGCGCGTCGTCGAAGTTTGGCGTTGGCGGGAACTCGGAGTCCAAAGTACGCATGCGCAGATTTCTAGTTTGAGGGAGAGTGCACGAATTGATTCGGACTGGTTTCAAACTAATCCGCAGCCCTGCTGGAACGCCCAACTCCCAGTCACAATCACTGAGTGCTGCTGCCAGAACGCCCAACTCCCAGTCACTATCACTGAGTGCTGCTGCTGGAACGCCCAATACTAGACTGCGCATTCGCGGACTAGTTCGGGAGTGTTTCGGACTGCTGCTGGAACAAACCTAGTACCAGCCTAGTACGGCTCTAGCCAAAGAGTACACAGGACCGTCAGTCGATTGCTGGGCATATCGATAGACACTCTTGATGGGATTGTATCGCCCCGTCGATAACTCCAACAACAATACAATAAGAGATTCAATAGAAAATTCTTATTTCTGCTAAAAATATAGTTTTATCACGAATCCCTTACCTTTTGGTAAGCTGCAGTACACTGCAATATTTGATGTCTGCCACAATGTACCATAAAATATGAAGAAAGTGGATGGATAAATGTTATTTTTCACAATAATTATAAATCCAGTTCCTTCATATCCCTGATGGTGCTCTCAAAGAAGTG